TACTGTTGTGATAAACTGTGCAGAACAGAACATTCAATCTATTAATTGCTTTTTAGCTGGGCCTTCATTCTTAATTCTGACATGATGATTTCCGCTGGTCTGGCTTTTAACAATTCACTTGTCATTACAGTGTAGATAACTAAGCAAATTGAGATGTCTTAACTGATCTTCAAACATTCAGACTATAGACAGTGAGCATAGAGCTAAAGGGCAAGAGAGATCTCTTTATAAACAGGGCTGCCACTCTACAGACGCAATGCTGTAATTTACTTGCTTCAATCTTCACACTAAGGGTGTCAAACGTTCACTGCTCATTTGTGCCCTGCTGAGAACAACTCAAAGCCACTCTGCTTATAGATCTAACACAAAAGTTCATACAGGATAAATATTACATTTAGGCAGGCCAGCCCTTTAAAACTCCTATCCAGCAATAAGGAGTTGCCACATAAGACAAAGAAGCACTGCTGCACTTTTACATCGTGCATTGACAAAGCATTATCACCTAACCACTCAACTTTGGCCTATAAAAAAAAACAGGTCTGTGCAATGCAACTTCTGACAAGAGCACATGTGCTACCAGATGAACTGCAGTGCAAAGCAGTGGGTGAGATATAATTCAAATAATACAAGATTCAATTATTACCACAGAAGGTAAATCAGCTGACACATCTACATAATGCTTATAATATATATCAGTCTCTTTAACTAGTACAAAAAAGCAATCAGCAAGCGATGACAATTTAATACCCCCAGACATGTTACAAACAGTCTAAAGTCTGCATGAGGGTCATAACAATCCACCCATTTCTATAAAATTTACTGAAAGACAAAACTTATTTTCCTTAATTTTAAATCTTCAACTTATGTGGATATTTTTCAAGGTTCTTCCAAAGCTTTTCACAATTACAATAAATATACAAAATCCTGTTTCAATTTACTGTATGAATTATAACTTTCATTTAATGAGGCTAAACTTATGTCATCTGCTTCTCTGAACAGTTAGTAATATCCTAAAGTACTAGAGGGAATTAATTAATGAATTATCACTGCATTAACTACAAATCCCTTCGTCTCTATCTGCCACAATAATTTATAACATGTTGTGAATAAAAATCTACAAGCTTTAGCAGTTATCTAAGAGAGGGTGAAGAGACCTCAACCACAACTTCACCTGCATGCATAATCTTTCACTCCTGCGAGTTATAGAACATACTGAAGTGATAAAAAAAAAATATGGTCAGACACGGACCAGACAATATATTATAAGGGCCACACTTGTATTACTTATATTATTATGCACCTTGGGGGAAACTGACAACTGCTAAAAAGAATAGATTGCTTGTTCATATAAAGTGTTGGCAGACAGTTTGACAACTACCTCTAGTTAAAAAAAATGTTAACAAATTTTGTTTACTGTAAGTATCCAATAAGGCACATTTCAAGCAAAGAAAATCAAATGTGTTGGCCTTTAAATTTCTAGCAATGAACTGAAAATACTTACTGTGAAATACTAATTTATAAATAAATGACTTTCAAGGTAGGTGAGATGTTGCATTTTGGGCACTTGCAGACAATGGTGGTTTGGTTAAGCACCTTTGTGTTTTGCTTCATGTTTTGGTAAGAACTTGAATGCTTTTGAGACACTGGAGAAAGCACTGGCTCATGAGGGGTGTATGTGCACATAAAGCTAACTAGTTCACAACAAAACTAGAATATGAAAAAAAAAAACAGGGGAACCTATTATGGAATATGTAACAAATTATTAACATACGTTACTACATTATTTTCTACTGTCAATAAATTAATCGACGTGGAGGACTTGAGGAACAGTATTTAACAAGCCAAAACAACTTTAAAAATAAGGGAACAAATAATTTCCATTAATAGTTCGTATCATTAAAATGTCGCAAGTTAAATTAATGAGACGTTAAAAATGTGATTTATTTCGTAAATAGCTTTACGAAATAAATATTTTAAAAATAACAGTAAACTCCAAGAACGTACTATTTGAAAATATATCGGTATGATTATATTAACGTTATTTAAGTTACTTTGAAATACAAACGCAAAACTCAAACATGCAAAACACTAAAGGAATAAGCACATATATTTAAGTCATTTTAGTGACGTCTCCAATAAATATAAGTGCGTAGCTCGTGACATTTAGCACGTATGCTAAGTGCTAAACTGTTACAAATTAACATCGCCTAGTGAAAATAACAATATTACGTAAAGATAAACTAAATCGTACAATATTCGATGACTAATTAAACAAAATAAAAGAATGATTAATCAAGCGGACGTTATAAACCGTGCTAGTCCGTCGCTATTCATTAGCCGTGTTGTTGTATTTCAATTGTAGTGATCTGCTAACTGTTAGCAATGCTAGCTTTAGCGTTGTTCAGGCCTTGCGATGGTTAAAGATACAAATTCCTAAATGCGTTAGCAGGGATGTATTTTGCCACTTTCCCACCACATTACATAGTTTGCTTTTGGCATCAAGTCGAATTTTAGTTTCATGTTATTAACCAAAAACGTGTTTTTCTTTTGTCCGTCTGTTCTCTATCTGTGATGAAAACACGGGAGTTACTGGAGCAATGTTTTGGCGTAGTGGTGGCCCCTTGATCTTCGATCGCTTAAAAAGCTTCGATAAATTACTGAAAATGTAAATTTGATCATATTCTGGATGTTTTCCTGATTCGCTTGTGACCTTCCAGATTGCGCTGTGTAACGTTTCAAGATGGCGTTTCGTTACCTCTGTACGCTTCCCAGAAAATGCGACTTTAATCCCTTTGAAAGAAAAAAAGCAAATGCCCGTGCTTTTTGTTTTTGAAAAAAAAAAAAAGCAAAGGACAAATCAATAGTTGGATAGAAATATGATGATATTACTCGACCTTTCGTCAGTGAGAAGACTGTTGTGTTCGTGGTTGGCTGTTGGGGAGTTTGGATGGACAGTCATGCTTTCCACAGCCATTTCCTCTAACGTACTACATTCAGTGCAAAAAAATCAACTGTCTTATGCGTTACTTGACTTTGATCTACTTGTTGATTGGCTTTAGGAAGAGATTCAGTTCATAGTAGTCAATTCCCCACTAACAGTTTAAAAGAGAAACAGGTTGAAAACGTTCCTGAGGTTCTCCGTCCTACAGTTGCGATGTGAAATGAAACTCGTTCACTTAAAATGGCGACGCTTCTTCTCCGAGGAGAAGGGGCGGGCTTTTGCGACGTGACGTCGTCTGTCACGGAAATGACCGAGCGGGTCACGAAGAGCAAATACGGTTTTGTTTTTTTTTTAACTAGTATCCACAATTAATTTTCTGATTTTTTGAAGTTTCAAGATCTATATGTTCTTCATAAAAATAAAAAAAAAACAATAGCCATTGAGGGGTACAAATATGATTTCAGTTTCTTGATTGCATTTTTTTTTTTGCATTTTAAGTTAGGTTAAAATAATTTTATGTCCCCTTGGAAGTTTACTCAGGCCCCCTGGCTGAGATTCACTGTTTTAAATGGCCAGTAAACAGCAGCTTTAGTTATAATTTAGCCTAGATATTTACGCTGGGACACATTCAATTGTTTCTGAAATAGTTTTGTATAGACTGTTTAATTTTTATTTTTTTGCATGATAGGACTTTGTGTTATGATCCCAATATTCTACCCAGTATTTTGTGAGCATGCACCAAGTAAATAATAATTTAATGATATAAACTGTGGTGTACACTCCAGTAAACATATTTTATCTCCTTGTATAGTTAAGATTACTACACTGCTAAATTATGTTTAAATGAAAACCAAGTTAGTATGATAATATTATACTGACTCTGAATAATTTCGTGACAATGTTTAAAAATATATATTTTTTATTTTATTCTTTCTTTTTATTTATATGTAATTAGATTACAACGGAATGGCAAAGGACAGCATTTCCAATTAATGTACGTAAACATAATTGGCTTATAATACATTAAACCACGCTCTTTTCTATTTCTATGTGGTCCATTCTTTAGTTAATTAATGTAATTAGTTGTTAGAAACAAGGGCGAGCTATACACAGTACACATACACAATCATTCATTTATGCAAATATACATTGTAAGAATTAAAAATATCATATACAAAACACAGTTGATGGATTTTAAAGACCTAGAGTTGCTGGAAAATGTCTATTATTCATATTCAGTATTAAACAGCTTAAATAGTGGGAAATCAGCATCTAGACAGGATATACTTTATGAAAGATTACAGAATTTATATAGAATAAACCAAACAGGAGTAAGAGTAGAGTTTTTATGGATACCTGCCCATGTAGGTGTAGAAGGAAATGAGGAGGTGGATAAGCTGGCCAAGTCAGCATTGAGAAAAGAAGAGATTGACATAGAAATTCCTTTAAGTAAAACAGAAGTAAAAGGTATTATTAAAACAGCAGTTGGAAGTATGTGGCAAGACGTATGGAATAAAGAGTCAAAAGGGAGACACTTATTTAGCATTCAACATAAAGTGGGGATTGAAAGAAAGGTATATGGAAACAGAAGAGAAGATACTGTTATAACCAGGATCTGTATAGGACACTCTAACCTTAATTATTAATTGCATATAATAGGAAGAAGTGAGTTAGATAGCTGCAGTTACAGAAACAGTTGAACATGTGCTTTTACATTGTGAGGCATATAATAGACAAAGAAAGCAACTTGTTGAAAAACTAAGAGATATGGAAATCAATGACATTTCAGTTATGAATATATTTCAGAATGCACAGAAACATCTAAGGGTTTATGATTTTCTTCTAAAATATCTGAGAGATACAGAGTTGATTAGAAGAATTTTTATTTATTTTATTTTTTTATTAGTAGTATATAATATATTCGTTAATCGAGGCCTCACACTCCATCCCAGTAGGTGGCGGAAATGCACCTTAAGCTGGTTTGCCAACCGCCATTAAACACAAAAGAAGAAGAAGAACATGTCTGTTGCTGCGCTCTGAATCGAGGGTGCTCGCTGCAGAGCCAAATGGGAGGAGCTGGAGGTCATTTGGCTCTGCAGTGAGCAGTACTTGTACTTGTCTGAATCTGGCGCGTTCCCACCGCTCACACGTCATCATTGCGCGCCTCAACGAGTATCACTGAGCGGCGTTTCTTTCCCATGGAATGGGCAGTAAAAAAAACAGAGCGTAGAATAGTCAAACTAACCTCTCAGCCAGTCCTGTACAGGATATTATTAAAAACGGCAATATTTTGAAATGATTGATACCATCGAAAAAGAAGACAATTTAATCAGCGAGGAGGAGGCTGCGCAGTATGATCGTCAGATTCGCCTCTGGGGTCTCGATGCTCAAAAAAGGTTGGTAGATAACTGTTTCGTACATAAAGAACAACTAACTGTACTCATATTATTTTAAGGTGTTTTCGGCTAATTGTTTAAGAATAATGCATAAACCTTTTTTCTAGCATTAATCATAAGTATGATTTTAAATGCATTATTTGAGTATCTTTCGCATTCATGCTTTTAATCTGAAATAAAAATGGTGTATTAGGGAATGCATTTTTGGACTAGGTGTGCATAAATAATAAGCACTATAATAAAGGAAATGCATATACATTTTACATTTTCAGACTTAGGGGATCACGGGTGCTTCTTGTTGGTCTCCGGGGTCTTGGTGCAGAAGTAGCAAAGAACCTTATTTTGGCTGGGGTCAAAGGACTGACTCTCCTGGACCATGAGCAGGTATCATATATAGACTGACTTAAAGGGGTAGTTCACCTCAATCTTTCATCATTTGTTAATGTCCTTCATGTTCTGGGAACAGCAAACGAGAGTCAGCAGCATGCACTTTTATTTTATGGAAAAGAGATGCAATGAAAGTGAATAGTGACTGAGGCTATCAGTCCCTAGATGTTTAACATTTGTTTTGTGTTCCACTGAAGACGTAACAGGGTTGGAATGACATAAGGTTGTATGGATTTTTGGGTGAATTATTCCTGTAAATAATTCCTTACCACTCATAAAAGCACCTTAACAGGTACATAACTACGTGTTATTTGGCTTCCATCAATCAGGTGACACAGGAGTCCAGATATGCTCAGTTCCTGATCCCTGTGGATGCAGATGGTCAGAACCAGGCCCAGGCCTCTCTGGAGAGAGCTCAGTTACTCAACCCAATGGTGGAAGTGAAGGCAGACACTGATGCAGTGGAGAGCAAGCCGGATGACTTTTTCTTCCAGTTTGATGCGGTGAGTGCCGGAACAAGCAGTTTTGCGGGATAATTTGTATATTAACATAACTAAATCATACACAAGACCAACAGGCAATCTTATGTTGTGAGCTACTGTCTGATTGTTCATCAACTATAAAAGGACACAAGAATATTTTAGAGACACTTGAGTATTGTAAATACAATAGAACAGAATCCTTATTTTCAGGGACCAAATTTGTTGTGCAACTTTACAGTACATATTGCAATACCAATGCAAATCTTATAGTACAGAAATCCCATAATAAATTTTATATTTCTATGGAAAGTCTGATGGACAGGAACTGTCTGCTTGACATCAGGTGTGATAGAGGTTAATCGGTATATCATTGATAGATTATTTACCTTTGTGCCTTTCATGTCCACTAGATGTCTCTATACACAATTGATCATTTTCATTTAATGTGTTTGTAGCTTTTTTTGCCTTGTTTTTCCCTCAACCTCAGTGTGAACCCATCTATGAACAGCCAACGTCAGATCTAGACACAGACTTTTATCTGAGACTTGGTTTGGACTTTTCCAAGCGTGTGCTCTTTTCCAAGCGTATGATATGTTGCAGGCCATATTTTCTTTAAATCAGGACTCTGTTGTTGGCTGTGGAAGATGCAGTCAGCATACATACCCTGTTCAAAGCGCAGACAGGCAGTCTTTCATCTTCTCTCTGTCTGGGAGCTGTCTGAACCCTCCCTCTGGGAGTGCTAGTGAGAGTTCAGGAGGAGGGGGAAGCGATGGTGGGACACAGAAAGAGGAGGGGGGTTTTAACATCATCTATTCTCTTTTATCTGTTTCTCTTGATACTACACAGGAAACTTTGTGAGTGAATGTCTTTGTCTTCTCTTGTGTATGTGTGGTGTTATTTTCAGGCGATTTCTTAATAAACGATGCAAGTTTAGTCAAGAGGAAGCCAACAATACACTGAATTAATTCATTGTCTGGATGAATTGTACATGCATGAAAGAATCATTTGAGACAACAAGTACTGGGATGTTTTGTGCAACAAGTACAGGGCATTGCTTGAGCAGGTTTTGAGGTAAAATATCTATTTTTTGTGAATCACAAATAAGCAGTTTTTATGTATGGAAGCCCATTTCTGCCACAAAATAAAAAAAAATGTTTTGGTAAATCATATTATGACATAATTGATAATTATGACATAAATTGAAATGATGAGATAATCTCATAATGAGACAACAAGTACTGGGATGTTTTGTGCAACAAGTACAGGGCATTGCTTGAGCAGGTTTTGAGGTAAAATATCTATTTTTTGTGAATCACAAATAAGCAATTTTTATGTATGGAAGCCCATTTCTGCCACAAAATAAAAAAAAATGTTTTGGTAAATCATATTATGACAATTGATAATTATGACATAAATTGAAATGATGAGATAATCTCATAATTATGAAATAAAAAGTTGAAATTTACATACTAAGTCATAATGAAATAAAAAGTTGAAATTGACATGCTAAGTCAATTATTAAATAAAAAGTTGAAATTGAGATGAAGTCGTAATTATGGCAAATAATTTTTTTAAATCAATTGTAACTTTCTATGTTCTAATTGTGACTTCTCAATTTTTTGACTATATCTTTTTACTTTTTATAACTTTGTATGACAATTTCAACTAATTCAATAATTTACTTATGTTATCATTTATTTATAATTAATATGTTATTAAATGTTATAATTTATATAATTATGACTTTTTTTGTCATAATTTTGATTTAGTATGCCATAATTCTGATTTATTTAATAATCTATGACTTTTAATTATGATTTGTCATGCATAATAATTTTGGGCTGAGAAAAAGAACAAGTATATAGCATCACTTATGTTTTTCCAAATCTGTATGACTTTCTTCTGTGGAGCACACAAGAAAAGAAAGAAAGAAAAGTTGAATAATGTACCGATCATTCTTTTCTATAATCACAGTTAATGGTCACAGGAGGTCGCAAGCTTTAAAAATAAATCAAAAGTGCCATAAAAGTTCTCCAGAAAACTTACATTTCAGTCTCTTCCTCACACAAAGCTATCATATTGATTCAGAAGACCTGGAATATAGTCATATTGACCACTTTTATGATCCTTTTAAAGTGCTTTTTGTAATTTTACTTCACTTTCATTAATTAGAAAATAGTGGCCAGCATATATCCTTCAAAAATTTTCTTTTTGTGTTCCAAGAGTTGAATATTTATGTAGAGTCAGCTGTTTTGGCAGTCCATTCCACCAATAGAAAACAAACATGGAGCTCCTGGACAAGGTCAAGCCGGAAGCCTTCATGTAGGGAGCGGGTGGAGGGCTAGGTTTTCATAAGGAGCTGTTCACAGTAGCCTGACTGGGGTGTACATTTTGAAGGACTGAAGATAGTGGAGGACTAAAACCAAGAGCTTAAATTGAATTAAAGATTTGCCAGCACAGACGTCATGTAATGCCAAGTGGCAGCTATTTAGTGGAGGCATATGGGTTCACAGTAGCCTGACTGGGGTGTACATTTTGAAGGACTGAAGATAGTGGAGGACTAAAGCCAAGAGCTTAAATTTAATTAAAGATTTGCCAGCACAGACTTCATGTAATGCCAAGTGGCAGCTATTTAGTGGAGGCATATGGTAGCTGCTGGTAGCTCTGATTAATATTCCTTTGTGGCATGATTTGTTTCTTCTTTGCATCCTCTAGGGGTCACTGCTTGATAAAGATGTGTTCTTTTGAGACGTCTGGCTGCCTGGAGGCACATAATACTGACAGGAAGAATGTGTCAAAAGACAATGTCTCGCCACATGTTTCATAATGTTTCTCCATGCACCCTGGTCCCAGATGAACTAGTGAAGGTGTTACTCCTCAGGGCACTACTTCATTGCAACAGTATTTCCGAGAAGTGTTGTTGATATTCAGTTGTGGATTGCATAACCTTTGAACATCCTTTGAAAAAGGCCTGCTTAGATAACCTGTTCACTTCAGGTGTACTTTAAGTAATGAGGTTACAGGTGGTGTTCTGATGAGGAAAGTAAACAAACCCAAGTCAACAGATAAAGTGATGATTCATCTGTCCTTGAAGATCCACCCAGTTAACGCATCATGGCGCATGTCATCTGTATCTCAAATGGTTATTAATACACCACCACATTCTTATCTCAAACCCAAAATTGGGGGGTGTGAGAGGTTTGGGACCTTGGATAAGAGTGCCAATGTTCTGGTCAGTTGTCTGTCATTGCCAAACCTTTGTTCTGTTTCTGGTTGTACCCATAAGATGTGTTTTAAGGACCCATCAAGGTCACTGGTTTGAAAACAACCACATATTAATGCACATTGTTTTGTTCAGGTTTGTCTGACCAGGTGCTCCAAAGACCTCATGGTGCGAGTGGACCAGCTCTGTGCCTCCAGGAACATTAAGGTCTTCTGTGGAGACGTGTATGGTTATCATGGATACATGTTCTCTGACCTTGGCCAGGAGCATCACTATGTAGAGTAAGTCAGGAAATGTGGATGAAAAGGTGGCTGTGTTTGATTTTCATGTGGAAAAAAACTGATGATCCCATTCAAACTTGCCAGAGAAAAGCCCAAAGTGGTGAAAGGGTCTAATAAGGCCAATGATGGTCCTGAGGCAAAGAAACTGAAGGTTGACCCCAATGAGACTACAATGGTGAAAAAGGTGGGTGTTTTGGCGGCTTTGGTGTCTGTTAACTATATATCTCAGTTTTCAGTCACATCTATGACCCTTTAAAGTTAAGTTAATAAGATAATAAGAACCTCCATCTCTCTTTATATAGACCGTCAGTTTCTGCTCTCTCAAAGCAGCACTGGAGGTTGACTGGACTAATGAGAAGGCCAAAAACAATCTGAAGCGCATTCCCGTAGACTACTTCCTTCTGCAAGGTATTTTTTACATTTAATTAATCCAATAACTCATGAAAAAGTTCAGTAAATGGGAATTTCCTTCCTAAATTGTGCAGTTTACTGGATGATCTTCAGGTACATACTACATTCCAGAGGTTTCTGATGCTCACCAAGGCTGCATTTATATGATCAAAAATACAGTAAAAATTTTAAATATTATTCTAATTTAAAATTACTTTTTCTGTTCTAATATATGTTAAAATATAATTTATTACTGTGATGGAAAAACAGAATTTTCAGCAGCCATTACTCCAGTCTTCAATGTCACGTGATCCTTTAGAAATCATTAATTCTTATTATTATCAATGTTTTTGTGGAAATCGTGATCCATTTTTTTTCAGGATTCTTTGATTAATAAAAAGTTCAAAATGACAGCATGTATTTGAAATCTAAATCTTTTGTAAATGATCCTTACTGTCATTTATGATAATTTCAATGTGTCATTTCTGAATAAAAGTATTAATGTTAAAATTTACTGATAGATCATGTGAAGCACAAACATCCATTCAGTTAACACAGATAATCAACAAAAATAGCAACAATATTATATATACTATAAAAGGTGCAAACAGTGGCTTAAGTGGTTATTTTGTTAGTCTTTTCAGGCAGCTGAAGACATTGCAGTTTCCTCCTACAGTCTGTCGTACACCGTTATCAGGGGGAGGGCCTGTTGATCTGTGTAATTATAGTCAACATTTCTCTTTTTATACAAGTGCTCACCTGGTGTCCTCACTGAGACTGGCTCATTTTCCATCACAGGCTGTCCATGGCCAGTCATGTGCAGTGGCTCTCAAAAACAAAACATGCCACCTCCGCACCTCTCTATCATTATAACAGACTCTGACTGCACCTCCGCCCCTCCCTAAACATCTAGTATTACATTTATGGAAAAAATAACACTTCCTATTTGTGCACTGAAGCAAGAATTTAAGTGCATTGCTGTGCTCAAAAATACCACGCATCAGTTCAAACAGCTTTTGAGGAAGAGCCGTTTCCTCTGTCTTAACTCACTGATTTATTTGAGGTTTTATCACCCCAGTGGTGCGACTATTACGTCAATGATTTTTTTCCAAACCCTCGGATGTTGTTTTCACAATCTGGAGAAAATTCTATCAAGAAATTCAGCTATGAAACTTAAAATTTCATCTATGTGCTAGATAGAGTGAGATAACACGAATGAGTGGGTGTGTGTTTTTTTTTTTATGTAAGTGTATGTGCTATGCTGCCAGGTGGAAATGCAGTGGGCTGGGGTTCATTGTGTTGTAGTTGGTGGGCAGTAAAAAAGGGGAAGTGATACTTTGGAAAATAGCCTAAAGGGGCTTGATGCCTTTTCACGTGCTACACAAATCTTCAAACACATCTCTCCTCCACTTACGTCCTGTTTAAATGTGGAAAACCCACTCTTTCCCCACTCATTCTCTCTTACTTACTCCAACAGTGCTTTTGAAGTTTCGTACAGATAAAGGTCGTGATCCTCAGCCAGACAGCTTTGCTGAAGACTCTCAGCTGCTCTTGCAAATCCGTAATGATGTTCTTGAGACCATGGGCCTGAGCTCTGAACTTCTTCCCAATACCTTTGTCAGGTACTTACAGATGCAGAAACACGGTGTTCACATTCATTCTCTCCAACGTTTTTTTTCTTACTAACCAGGGATGTGAAAAACTAGTGGGTGGGTTTCATGAACAACTAGTTGAACATAATAATATGTCTGGTTTCAGGTTCACCAGACCCCGACTGGGTGTTTCTCTCAAGTAGACAGAGTGCAACAGAACGGAACTGAATGCAGGCTTTTTTAAAAGATGGATTATTTTTAACTACGTGCGCCATCTTAAAAACTGTCAAAATAGCTGCAGAATTAAAAACAATTAAAAAAAAGCTGTGAGACGCAATGTATCGTCCAGACACACTCACCTGAATATCATGGCTGTAGTGAATTTCTGCGAGAGACTTCATGCACACTGTAGCTAAAAACTGAAGCACAGCATGCTAATTAAAAGCTAAAATATGTAAGAAAAAAAAACCTGGATTAAAAAATCATCTATTTGGGGTTTTTGAATGACTAGTCAACCCGTTCTTAATACCATTATTCTCTTACTTTAGCTCGAAATATATTTGCTTGTTACACATATGCTAGGGTAGACATACAGTGTGTGTAACATACATTTTTCCATCAGCTTAATAGGCTCATATATGGTGACACATGCACATTGTTTTTTTTTGTTCACATTTTTGTGCAAATTAGTTATTCCAAAAGGTGGCAACACTTGCCTAGCCAGTTTCACACTCGAAAAATAAATTGATTAGTTGGAACAAGAACAAACTAATGAAAACACTCAATTTAGGTAGTTTTATTGGAAATTAAAATAATAATTTCATTAATTTTAACAAATTTACAGTCAATATAGACATTACATCTATTATGTTCACCATGTTTTCTCACTGATACGTCTCCAACTCGGAAACACTGGGTTCATGTGCATTAAACTTATAAATGCAGTCTTTCCAACATGATGTGAACACACCATACGCATAAAAACTGAAGTATACTTTGGGCTTTTCTCTCCAACTTAACTACAACTCCTGCCTTGTGTTTGGTCCTCACAGTTACTGTTTCTCTGAGATGGCCCCAGTGTGCGCTGTAGTCGGAGGAGTTCTTGGACAAGAGATAGTCAAGGTGAGATCTTTGATTCATTTACATGTCTGAAGTCTTCATTGTAGTTTTGGTTTCTTTCACTTTCTCGTCCTACTTGTACATGAAATGTGAAATTTATTTTCTAGCTTTGCTTTTCCCCCTCCATACAGCCTTTCAATCTAGTTCTCCACACAACCATGAAACCCTCCGTTTTTACTAGCTGCGAAAGTGACTTTTCTGATGAGGCGCAGTGAGAAGCGTATGGCAGCTGCCCTCTCCATCAGAATCTGGGCTAAGTCCAAAAGTTTTATCTGTTGACGGTGTATAAATGCCAGAAATGACGAGGTAATATTCCGGTCACTGATGAAATCCAGCGGAGAGCGCCTGAAATCTTCTCATATGATTCCATAAACCGAACGAGATTAAATAAGCTAAAGCGTAGTGATGTAATCAGTCAGTCTTGAGTGGATAATAACACCTGGATTATGGACAGTAAGAGGATCTGTTGTAGTGTAGGCCATGTAAAAACACATATTTGCTCCAGTTGCACACAACAGAATACGGTAAATGGTAAACGTCAATATCTCTCTTGGAGGGTGATGTCATCCCGGGATGCGGTGGGGTCTTCGTGAGGGTGGGGATCAGGGCTGAGTGGGGTGATGGAGTGAACGCCGTTGTCTCAGAGGCGGTGGCTGGGCAGGCCTTGAACCCACATGGCGGTGGAGTGAAGCCAGGCTGTCTCGCCATCTCCCTGCATGATGAAACAGGCTGCAATTCGCATATGGCTCTCTGTTTCTCGCTGCCCCTCGCCCATCAGTCTCTGTCGCCACAATGGAGAACGAGTCTGATGCGTTCGATCAAAGCAGTTAATTAGAGAATTCAAGGTCTTTGGCGTCTGACGTGTCTGAAGATTTGTTTGCATGTGTTCGACAGGCGCTGTCTCAGAGAGATGCTCCACACAGGAACTTTTTCTTCTTCGACGGCCTGAAGGGCAGCGGGGTGGTCGACTACTTCGGATCCAAATAAGTGGCCCCTGGAGAACATGGAGAGATGTGTGGCGATGCATGTGTGCTCTCGAAACACCATGGAGTTCATCTTCTGCCAGTGGCCGCAGGCATCAAAATCTGTCTTTTGGACAGTACCTTTGCGTAGCAGTATGCCACACATCAACTGATGCCAAGAGCAACGAGAACATTTTGTCCACACACTCTGAAATATTAATGTACACACGTTTTTCACCAAGGTTATGTGATTTCTATGTTTTGTATTAAAATAATAAAAGCCCAATAGAACATAAATTTGTTTTGGATTGTTTAGCATCATCGATTTCAATAATTTCCTCTAATCTGTTGCCAAAGATCTCTTCGCTATCCTCTGTGATGCTAAATTGCAAAAAATGAGGCAAACAACTTTAAAGGGAATTTAAAATGAATGCAAAAATGTCAGATGCTCCCTTGAGCCATTTATTTCTGAAAATTAAACCACACAAATCATCCCAGCCCCGCTCTGAAATGAGGCTGGGTGGATTTTCCGATGCTTGTTATCATTCTGATATAGTAGTGAAAGCCTGAGGCGCATCTGGTCAGGTCTAGGTTTTTTTTTTGGTGAAGTTCGTAATGGGAAGTACTTTTATTAGCTCACCCCAGGTATGTCATTTACTGGACTGGTACAGTGATACTGCAGGGTTTATGACCCCCGAGGCAAGTAGGATCTCATGTTTTGATTTTTAGGTTTTCGTAGAAAGAAATGATCCTGCCTGTCCAGTTACAGACAAAAAGGAATGCTAAAGAACGCAATGTAACATTCGATCGATTGATAGTCCAAACACATGCTAAACCTACGGCCTCGTGTACAGTAATAGAATCAAATAGTACCAAATGTATCACATTTGTTTGCCTTTCAGCTGAAGTGTATTATGATGTTTGAATATGTTACGACTGTGCTGCAGACATGCAAAATCAGGACTTCGGGCCTTAAATGGATAATAAACGAGTGCCTTAAATCATAACACGGCATCAGTGAGTCAGTCTGAGTCAGATGAGAAGACTGGTCAGACTGGTTGAGCAGGTGCTCAAGTGGGAGTGGCAGCAAGTCTTGTAACTGTTTTTGATTTTTTCGGTTCGTTGACAGTGGAAACATGGGTTACTAGGTACCATAAGGTGGCCAAACTTTTTAAAGATTCTTATCATTGCAGATTCAAGCATCAGCATGGAAAAGATTACTGTGCTAATTATAACAAGACATCTAAAGTTCACTAAAAGGTCAAACTCCCACAATAAACAGGATGTCTCTACCAACATGATTTCAAAGAAAAGAAGAAAAGATCCAAGACCATTTCTAAAAAGATGTCGCTACTTCTGTTGCGTCACGACTTCAAAATGACTTTGTTAAACAACCTGTATAGTCAACATTTTCTTTAGGTCCTAATATAAGGCACGAGCATATGTTAAACTGAAACCAATATCCTCAAACTGGTTTCCTGAAATTGTCAGCAGCTGATTTTATATTTATATTTGGTGTATTGTTTATAGACTGATAATTGACCTTGTTGACGCTTGGTTTATCTTCAGCAATAGGTATAATTAAATTGCATAGCTTTAGGTCAAAGGCAGTGTGATGACTTTGTGAATGTCTATTCACAAGACAAATGACTGTAATTATGAACACTTACAATTTATATTAAAATGGATTTCATCGGTTGTTTTAAACAAAACTAAACAGTATTTTCTTTCCCGTCATTGAGAGTACAAGTACTCATTTTCAATGGTACTCAAGTACAAATTCACCAAGATAATTAAATACTGTAATGAAGTCCAATTACTTAAGTACTTCACATCGCTGCCAATGCCAATATAGTGAGAAAAGAAACAACAGCCTCAGCTGTAAAGAGGCCCTGACTGATTAAGATCCACTGCTCTTTCTCTAGCTGAGGAGAGAGCAGGATTAATTACGGACGCTGCGTTAAGCTCCTCATTTTAATTAAGCAACCTTCCTCTTATCGTGAAGGAATCCCGAAGGCGAGATGTTCTTACTCCAGAACAGATGTGTTGCTCCCAGCTATAAAATGCATAAACATGTGACGGGAGAAAGAACAGCCCTCAAATGATCAACAGCTCTTTTAGGAACACTGGTGAAGTCTGAATGGTCCTGCATGGGATATGTTCTGGGCACACGCAAATCAGAGCATAACAATCTATCACATCTTGTTCTGATAAGACTCATGTTGTTCTCAACATGAGTACAGTCAAACAGTCCCAACACTATATCGGATGAAATACACATAAGAGAAGGTTTGTTCTGTTTGTTTAATGCAACCTTCTTCAGGCCGAAGATCCTTTAATTGATTAAGATTTGGCACCAAGACCCCTGTTGCATAAAACTGAATGATTTTTAGGCCTGACCTAAACCATATAATATCGTCATGTTTTTGCATATAATAATATACGTTTTGAAATGATTTTTAAAATATTTGTTACTGATATAAAGAGTCATACACTTTTAACTTGTTTTTTTATTAATGTTTAGTAAATGTTTCATTTTATTTTAATGTGGAAGGGAAATTGAAACATTTAGCTGAACTTTTAGCTTTGTTTGAAGTTTGAATTTGTTTGAATTAATATTGTTTGAAAGCTTGTTTCTGCCACAGGATAAAAAATAAATAAGAAATATAAATATAAATGTGACTTTTTGTCTCACAATTCTGAATGGTGAGATATAAACTCGCAATTGTCGAGTTGTGAGATAATCAATGACATTTTTTTGATCCCGTCAAGGAAACAAACTTCTAAAATGTTGTGTTTTTGTTTGAAACTGTTGACCCCATGTTGAAGACCCCTAATCTAATATATTATTGACTGGATCACATGGGCTTTATTAACAATTTTGAGCAACCATTATGAATAGTTTTTGAAAATTGTGCATTTAACTTGTGAGGATGATCATACAGAAAAAAAAACATCAAAACACTGTTGTAATTCTCATATTTATTGAAAATGGTAAGGAAAAAACAATACAAAATTCATATAGAAATTTTACATAGAAAATTCCAAATGGCAAAATTACAAAGCTAGAAAATGAGTGACATGAGTTTAGTGTAAATCTGACAGTACATATAAGGCCTTTCTGCATCGGAGAACACGTGTATCGAAGAGAAGTCACAAGGTGGCCACAGGAAAGAGACCACACAACTGTTTTTCAGGAAGTCATGAGACAGGCAGCCACAGGAAAGACATCTCTGCTCCACAATACACCATGAAAACTGTACCGACATTACAAAGCCAATGCAAGCAGAAATGTGAGTGGTTAAGAGAATTTTCCCACCGACTTGCCACAGTTTTTCAAATGTGGTTTCTGAAGGAAGCGTATGAAACCCATAACGGTGTTATAAAAATCCCAGACAGACCTGGATCTGACATTGATTCATAGAGAACACGTTTGTTCAAGTATGATGGAATTTTGGCTCAGTTTAGTCCTTTATGTAGACAAATAAATTGCAGCAGAAAAAATATGAATGGATTTATTTGACAACCTTCAGGGGAATGTCGACAAATAAGTTAAAGAGATATATGGTCCATAAAACACAACACTAATGAATATCTCCATGCTTAATGCAGAACGTTTTTGTCAATAACAAATCATCAAAATAACCAAGAGTACAAATGATGGACATAGAAAATAAATTAGCTTGTGCTTCTCAAATATTTACTTGAGAATTCTATTCGCAAAGTACATTTTAATCGGGATTTTTTTTTTACAGGACTCCACTTTATTTAAATCGAAATACGTTGAAAATAGGTAGAAATCCACTGGATTTTTAAAACAACTGCTTTCCAGTGTTGGTCCAAAAAATATCTGAAGAACAAAAAACTGAAACCGAGAAAAGGAACTTAATGTTAAGTACTTTAAGGTCATTTCATCAAAATATACAAACAAAAACTCCCTGTTTATTCTATCCTGTCCTTTTTTTTCTCACAAAATATGTACATGTGTAATCCATACAAATATTAACACTGCTCTCCAGCCATTTCAATAACTAGTGGTCTGGCTTTCCCACAAGGCTTCCAGCCTCACTTCCGTACCTCCATTGGAGGTGACCAAGCTTTGAATTAAGTGGCAAATTTGTGTCCCGAAGTGTAGATTCAGGTAGGGGGCAACAAGGTCGGTTAACCCGCACACCATGCAGTGATTGTCCCTGATGGCTTTAGTACACAAAGGGCTGAAAAACGCCATTAGCAAGGCACGATCCAACTGTGCTCCATTAGTATAGTATGTGAGCATTCCATTATCTCGATTATCACCGGTTTTCCATTGATGGTGTGCGGGTGTGCGGCCTGCGCCACTGGTGACTGATAGTGCAGCGCAGATATTGCTCCTGTAAGGCAGCTGAAAGGAGAACCGACGACACATAAAGCACTTCTGGGCCCGAGGCGCTACGCAGATCTCATTAATCTGTTTGCTTGAGAGCGACCCGGCTTAATGTAACTTCCCAGCATTGCAGTTAAAGATGCAAAAGAGTACGCAAATGCGCAGAGAGCCACGCACTCCTACTGACATCTATACCGGGACACACACTTCAGTCACTAATGCTACATGAGAATCCATGGAAAAAGATGTACAAAACAAACCAACAACAAAAAATCACAGATAAAGAAACAAACATGACATCTGATCCTGCAGAAAAGTCCCAGAGTCTTTAAGTGGTCGGCAGGAGAGCGCCTGCACTCTTCCTGTGACGTAACCCGTCTGTTTATCTGAGGCCGTGCTGGTAGAGGGCATTGATGGTGTCAGCGACAAACACAACGAGCCCACGGTACAGGCCTCTCCAGTTCTGCCGGTGTGGAGCGGCATTCTGAAACAAAGATGCAAGGAGAATGAGCTCATCGTCTGTTTTATGTAATGCAAAAAGTGAAAGGGAACATAAGAGGCAC